GTTCTGTGATTCTGTGATTCTGTGAGTGCAGCCTTGTATTTACGTTAAGTGTTCTCCCCGCACTGAATTGCTTTTTGAATAGACAGAGGAAAAGAACTGCTACGTCTTTCATATTTTAAAGACACATAACAGAGAAGTAGATAGGTACAATATGCTGGTAGGAACACTGAGTCTGCTTTCAAAGTGTTTTGTTTCCAGACTTTTGCCTTCTGTTACCTCTTACATGTATAAACAGATGTGACCTTATCTCAATTTTTCATTATAGTGAAGTGTGCCACAAGCAAGCCAGCTTTCTTTGCTGAAAAGCTCCACTTGGCAATGAAGGTAACCTAAACAAAGAACTTCTCTTAGCAAACGTGGGGTGCTTTGTAAGCTGAAAAATAACAAACTAGCTAGAGCTCTCTGAGCCCTTTGTGTGATGAAAAAAAGGACTGTAGAAGGAAATTCAGTATATTTTCTATCTCCTATTTCTTCCTTTGAAACCTCTGAGTGTCTTTGTGTAGAGGGAGCTGTCTGTTTGCTATAGTGTGTTCAGGAAGTGTGTCCATTCACACATGTATCTCTTACTCTAGACAGTGACAGAAAGCTAACTGAACTTTTCTTATTTATGATACCACAAAACAATTAGTGAAAAGTAAATAGGAAATCTAGTACAGATCTGGACAAGAACCTTGTAGAAGCTTAATCTTTGACAAAACATTCATGGTCCTTCTGGCAAATTTGGCACCTGAGTTGAGTCAGCTGGAGATCCTGAAACAGTCTAGTATGCAGGTATTTTCATAACTCCTGTACTTGGTTAGGAGCAGTATGTGAAAAATTTGAGTGAAAGATTATGAAAATACATTTCATTATACTATTAAAATGTAATAAAAAAGGCGGTGAAGTCTAAGTTGTCTCTGGTGTCTAGCAAGCACCGTGAAGGACATACAGTTTTTTAGGAAACAGCTAAATAAAATGCATTTAAAAAATGCAGGGGTGGAGGTAACCTGTCAGAAGTGAATTATGCTTATAGGAAACAGAAATGCAATATAAGAGAACCCACTCATGAGAGATGTTAAAGGAACAGGATATGGGTTTTATTGACCCACAAAGTAGTCTGGTGGATCAACACACAGAATCTTGATTTAAGATATTTCAATGAAATAATTAACTTCTTTTTATCTTTTTATCATATTATTTTTTCTTTTTTCTTTCTTTCTTTTCCATTTTTCCTTTTCCTTTTTTGTCTTTTTCCATTTTTTTTTTTTTTTTTTTTTTTGACAGGGCTTTGGGACACGGCACAAAGAGCTCATCAGAATCATGGTTTCACGCCATGAAGTGGATATGGATGAGATCAAAGGCTACTACAAGAGTCTGTATGGCATCTCTCTTTGCCAAGCCATTATGGTAGGTTTTATTTCAGGTGATTTATGAAATTGAAAACAACTGAATTATTTTGGAAGCCCAATAAGACTTTGTTAACTTTTCTGCTCCACAATCACCTGTTCATCCTGAGTAACACACTGTAGCTGAGTAACTCATATTCCAAATGATCTTTGTGCTGGTATAACTAATTCATTTTCTGGGGCACTGTTATTGTCACAAAAGCTTTAGCAATTTGTTAGTAGTGGTACGTGTCTTGGGATATCATCTTGCAGTAGAAACCAAAGCTGAATGGAGGCTAGAGTATCTCCGAGTTCCTGTACTTGTCCATATACAAGGTAGACTGGAGATGTTTGCATGACAGCTCTGTGGGAGATATTTGATGCAACTGGCTAATGGATTTTAACATCTGAGGTACTGCTGCAAATGCCTTGACTTTTATTTGACCTGCTTTCCAGGTGACTTAAGTGAATGATTTAAACTAACAAAAATATCTTCTTAAAGGGGACAGAGTACCCAGTGTATTTTCAATAAAATTAAAACCAGTGAGGTACTTGAAGAAAACTAAACATGCCAAGCAGCTTTGTGGAAGCTAGTAGACAACATCGAAAAAAAAAAATTATTTGATTAGAAACGTACTCCCTACATGAATCAAAATGCCATTTTGATTTTTGTCGGTGTCTGCTACTTTTTCAGTTAACTGCTAAAGATCACTTTTGGTCTTCCCTCATTAAAGTGTGTGATCTGTAATTTGTTCTGTAATTACATCACCTCATCATTCCAAAGTGATGTTTGCATCCAAATGGCTTGAGGTGTAGCTTGGCTACACTAAACTATTCATGTATCTCTGCAAAATAGATCCAAATTTGAGAAAACAGAGTGTGTAGTAATTACACTGCATATTTAATACCTATTATCCATCTTTTTCCAAGCTGAATAAGTGACCTTATGGTAAATCAAATATCACTGTTCTATTAGCCTGTGTTTGAGATAATCATAGATACAATGTGTATCAATATTAATGTGTTTTAATATTGATGAACATGGACATCATTAGACAAGGAAGGTATTTTCACTTTGTCTAGAGAAGAGAATCTTAAGCTCCTGGATGGTTAGAAATCTTTTGTGCTTCTCTTCTTTATTTATGTCATGAGACCTCCCAGGTTTTTATTGGCCTTGTCTACGTCTACTCCACTCTGGAAATGCATGTTTATTTCCAGGTCGTACAAATAATTTCAGCGTAGGTGCTCAGTTCAAGCTCAGTCTGTAGTTAACATATATGTGTTATCAAGTGATTAATTTAGGTGAAGGACTGATGCTTGGTACATGTATATTGAATGCTTATTGAAATTTATTTCACTTGAGACTATTATCCTAACAATTGTGTTATTTTTTACTTAAATTAACAGGATGAACTCAAAGGGGATTATGAAAACATCCTGGTGGCTTTATGTGGAAGTGATAACTAAATTTCTTGTTCCTGCAATACACTCAAGTCCTGTTGCTGAAGGTCTTTATATTTGCCTCAGCTGTCTATATCAAATGCAGGCTTTACACAGTGACGTTTCTCTGGAATAGCACTTAGTCCATATGTGTTATGTCAAAAACCTATAACCTAGAATGTATTTTTTCAGTATCTTTATCCTGAATGGCATTAATATCACTTGTTGCAGTTATTTATCCAAAGTCAAAGAACGCCTCTAAGTTCTGTTTACTTGATTAGTCATGAAAAAGGTAAAGTTTTGATCTATGCAAAGCAAATAAACCTTTAAAAATAAAATTAACCTGTATGGAACATTGTATGTCTGTTGTTGCTTTTCTGCATTTAATTTCAAGTTGTCTGCATGCAATGCATGAGAGAAAATTCAGTGAATAAGTTAATTAATAAAAAAATTATGTAGCAATGTCAGACAGTATAGCTGAGCCTATACCTTTTTACTTAACTCCAGCTAGGGTTTACGTAAGCCATATGTAAGAAAAGTAAGAACCTGTTAGAGAAAATAACAGTGCAAAAAAGCTGTCTTGTTATTTTTCTTTTGTTGGGGTCCAGACGAGGAATGGACTACAGCACACCAATATGATGCTCTGACAGTCAAATTATTGCACAAAGCTTGCTATTTTTATACATCATTAATGTTTGCACACGCATCTATCTGACTCCTAATTGACTGCATGCATTTTGCACGTGCTGTCCACGCCGGCTAATCTAATACATTATTGGTCGCTAACTACTGAACACTTTCCAGACCACATCTGTTCCATCCTGTCCCACATCCTGCTTATCTTGAACCTTTTCCATATCGTGATGCCAAATTAGTCTTCATTTCCTTGTTTTTCTCTTCTTACTTGGCCTTGAGTCTTCTTACCTAACCTTGACTCCCTTATGCTAAGCTGAGGCCCACTTTGGTTCACAATGCACTTATGTTAAGCTGAGGCCTACTTTGGTTCACAACGCCTCGATTGCCCAGGCTTCTACATCTCCCCCCTTTTCTTTAAAAACAAGCGCAATTGTTCAGGTGACAAAGCTTTGCAAACAGCGGATTATACAAGGAATCAACAAAAGCAATATAATAAAAGGCATAAGCATCACTAGCAAATCTTTTAACAATCCTCCTATCCAACCTCCCAATCTTAACTTACTCAACCATTCTGATAGTGGATCAGAAGAAACCGAAATTTTTTTCATGTTTTGTTGTAACTTGGCCAGTTGTCAATGAATACTAGAAGAATGATCAGACAAGTTAAAACAACACATACCCTCAAAATCCTGACATCCATGACCTTGCGCTAGTAACAAAAAATCAATGGCAGCTCGATTTTGCAATGTAGTGTGCCTAATACTATCCACATCCTGCAATAGCTCTGATATCATTACAGATGTTAGGTTAAACTGTTTTTCACTCCAGCATGCAAGGTGTTTTATGTTTTTTGCATTTTGTCCTGTCGCTCCTCCTGGTAAAAATACGGCTAGGGCAATTGTAGCTAAGGATGGCAGATCAAGGCGGTCATTGCAATTTCTGTTAAAATATGACACAGACCGACGAACTCAATTAGATGACGTTTGGTTAATGAGATCTCTCATATGGGGTGTGAGCATAGTTAATTTACCAAGATAACAGGGCCCTCCTACAGGACTGTGTGCAATACCATTTCAGGCCCTGTCTCCACATACTAGAAACACTCCAGGTGGGAGCAATTTTCCACCAGTTGTGTTTATTGTTTCTACTATAGCACCAAGTTACAGTGGCCAGTCAGACGATTTGCCTGTTACATTTTGATAACCTATACCATAATCATTGTCACGTCCACGTCTTTTCAGTCATAGTCTCACAACATCACCAAATTGAACAACGCCCATACCATTCCATGGCCAAGTTTCATAACCTGATATATTCCAAGGGGATTCAGTGCAATTTGGCGATGATGAGACATTAACCAACGTAGCTGGAGCAACACTTGCTAAAAGATCTTATTCTTGCAGAGGTACTGGGCTAGATTTGTTTAATGCTTTAAGTTTTGCTTTTTGCCAACACCCTCCCCACATGACAGAGCAGGTAAACATTTTACTACCTGGCGGGCCGCCTGAACAATAACAGTTACAATTTGGATATTCTCAGGAAGGCACATATTCACACTGCAGTTTATACAAAGTGCTATTAATCCATTGGCTAAAATCTGTTTCATTTTCTACAATGGGCATGCCAATAAGACAAGTATGAAAAGGGTCTCCTGGGGAGGCCATACTGAGACAAAAATCTGTCTGTTTGGTAACATTAGCCCATGTCAGCCATACATTAGCTCTTCTTGGTATTTCTAACCAAGTTAGAAATAGTTAGGGGTTTTATGGTATTCCCCCCAAATGCATGTGATCGTGACAGCAAATGTGACCAGCACCTTTGTCGCCATAGTTTCTTTTGTTGTTCCCATTCCTGATCCCTTAGTTGCCAGCTTCTGGGTACCGCTACTCTGTGTCCACACTGACTGCCTGTTACTCTATTATTTCTGATAATATCCTGTTTAGTTACAAGCTTAATATGTTAAAAAGCAAAAGTGTGATTACTCTAACTTCTAAGTTCTCAATTAAACTAAGGGCATTAGCAAAAGCAAAATCTCTACGCAAAACAAAGATATCCATGTGGTAAGGCACACCCTCCACAGATTCCAACGGTCTCCCGATAAAAGACCGCAACCAATCCTTGTGCAAATACTCAAGGACTGTACGATTACAGGTAATGCACAGCTAATGATATTCCACCTCCCCTCTTTTAGTAACTTTCCACACTTTTGTGTGACAAAGTGCACACTGCACTTTGATCCAGGGTCAACACCCTAAACCATGTACCTAACAAGACTGTTCTAGTTCCTTTTTTTGCTCTTCAGGTACCGCATGAACTGGTATATTCGCCCTAGATAGGTCAGTAATCAGTTCCCGTAATTCCTGCAGATTTCTGATGTCACGTAACAAAGGTGACCCCAACAAGTGGTCAGGATCAGGATGTAACCTCTGCAACCATGGTCGCAGGGCTTTCCACACCCTCGCCTTCTGCCTCTGCCAGATCTCTGGATCCCGGCCGTGGGTCATCAAGCCAGAGCTTCACCCGTTTTGCAGGTATCCACTGCGGTTTTCCTTCACCTGTTGAGACACAAGCATAACCCCTGCCCCAGGTCAGTAAATTCACTGGACCTTCCCAATTGTCTGTGTCAGGGTGGTAAATTTTACCTGTACCTGCATTGTACTCAAAAGTCTAGTGTTCCCTCGGCCATGTGCAATGGCAGGAGGAACGAGAGATTCCTGTTTTGGATTTAGCCAATTGTGTACAAAAAGTGTTTTGTGCAAAATGTCTTGGGGTGACGCCAATTCCCCCTGTTTTTTAATGATGTCTAGGTGATGTTTTAATGTGTGATGTGCGCGCTCCACAATCGCTTGTCCTGTAGAGTTATAAGGAACTCCTCGGACATGTGTGATTTGCCAGTCGGCCATAAATTGACTGACTATATTAGAACGATACGCAGGCCCATTATCAGTTTTGATCTGCTCTGGTTTCCCTAGAACAGCAAAAGAGTGTCACCAATGTTTCTTTGCTGCAGACGCTGAGGTAGAATTCAGAGCCGTGGCCCAAATCATTCCCGAACAGGTGTCTACAGTAACATGGAGGTATTTCTGATGGCCAAATTTGGGGTACTCCATAACATCTGTCTGCCAAATTTGTCTAGGTTGAAGTCCTCGGAGGTTTGCTCCTGAGGCCTGGATAACTGGCAATCGCGCACAATCTGGACAAGGAGCAATAATTTCTTTTGCATCAGCTTTCGAAATCTGGAACTGTGCTTTTAGTGCTGTGGATGACTGACAGCAAAACGCATGCGATTTTTGCGCCTGTGACAGCCTGCCTGGGTTGGAAGTATCCACAACATTGGCAGAAACAAGGGCATCTGCTCTGGAATTGTCTCCAACTAAACCTCCTGGTAAATTGGTATGACTCTTTATGTGTGTTACAAAAAGAGGTTTACTTCGTTGCTGTAACACATGCCAAAGATGTGTAAAAGCAGCAAACAGGACAGGATTGGAAACATGCCCTAAGATGGATAGATGAATTCGCTTTACTACTTCTACAACACACAGGGAGTCCACAACTAAATTTAAACAGTCATTCTCCCACTGTTGTAAGGCAGTGATAACAGCTTGTAGTTCTAAAATCTGCACAGAACCATCATCAACAAAAGAATGGGACTTCCACTCTCTCTCCTGTAACCATACATATCCAGCCTTTTCCGTTTTACTGCTGGCATCAGTAAAAACGGTTTCACCATCCACAGGTCTCTCAACTACAATAGGTAAAAGTTCTAGTGGGAGTCCGGTTTTAAATAAAGGGTGTGATGGATAATGATTGTCTATTGTTGTACCATGATTTAATAGTGCTATAGCAAGTTCATCACTTTGTCGACATAGGTGTGAAATATGCTCGAGTTGAATGGGCAAAATGATCTTCTCTGGGCTTTGTCCAGCTATCTCAATCAATCGTGTCGTTGCTTTAATTATGACTTGTGCTATTGCCTCTCAGCGTGTGATAGTAGACTTTTTGCTACGACTTGCTACAAATACCCATTCCAGGATTTGTAAGGAATTTTTGCACTGCGATATCCACTGCCCCAAAATGCCTGCAGCTTCAGTATCAGTATTGTAAATGTACAAACAAATAGGCTCTTTGGGCTCTACTTTTGTAACCGTGGTGTTTACAATTTTTTTGGAAATCTCTTGTAGGGCTTGTCTGGCCTGTGGTGTTAAGGACTGAGGATCTTGCAGCTGCTTCACATCTTTTAGCAGTTCAAAGAGTGGAGCAAGTTCTGTATTTGAAATTCCACACATATTATGAACCCACTGGATGTCTTCTACCAATTTTTGCACATCATTCAATGTCTAAATTTCTGCTCATAGGGTTAGTTTTTGTGATCGGATAACGGTTTCAGTAAGAACCATTCCAAGGTATTTCCATGGCGAACTACGTTGAACTTTTTTTGGAGGCAATAATCAGTCCCCACGTAGTTAACTGCTGAGTTAGTTTGGCAATGATGCTGTCATCAATAGGCTCTTGATTGCAAAGAAGCAGATCATCCATATAATGGTAGATTATCATGTGAGAATACTTTTTTTGGAAATGTGTCAGAGCCAGGTCAACGTGCCATTGGCAAATGGTCAGAGAATTCTTCATACCCTGTGGGAGAACAACCCACTGATATCTCCTTGCCGGTGCGGCTCTTAGTAGATGGAACAGTAAAGGCGAATT